AACATTTAATAGGTTCAAAGTGAATAGTATAATAATTATATTCAAATTTATGCATACTGTTCTAGTAACTAACTACAACAGTGTTCTCTTTACAGGCCTCAACCCTCTATTTGGAAGGGTAGAAGAAAGGATGATTAAATTTCCAGGTCCCCTTTTTCAATGAAGATTATTCTCCTACACAGTCAAGTTTGCCACCCCCCATTTTCCCCCATGCTTTGGCATCTTAGGAAGCAGAAACGGGCCTACAGGGAACTGGTTTGCCTCCTTTCAGGCCCAAGGTATATTCAATAAGGATCTATCATTGTTATTGATACAATCAATGTCCAAAGTGTCAGTTTCTAGAAAAAAGCTGTGTTTGAAAAACAGAAGGTGGTTATGTCATTCTAACATTTCCCAGTGGTCCTTATTACAATACTAGAATAGTCAATAGTTAAACCCGTTCTTGTATACCATCTATCATGTATTCTGTTTTCCCCCTTGATTTTAAGTTGACATAATACAAATTAGTTATGATCAAGGAAAACTAAATAAAACTGTTTGCTATTTCTATATATTCCACAGCTTCTTCTCTCTTGGCTACTCATTTTCCATCTCATGAACCCTATTTAAGAGCTCAGCAATTGCAAGTAAGAGCTTATCAGTTTCTACATTTGCCTCCTTCAATAAGGGACATACGTACTGCCCTTATAGGATGGAAATCCACTAGAAGATGTTACCTGCCTCATGCTTCTAAGCAGTCCTCTTCGGTGATGGGGAGGACTGTTCCTACATTTTATTTTAAAAATAGAACTTTTCTGTGCATGATCCTGGACAAATCCACAAACTAAATGAGTTTTGAGGTTCAAATTCAAGAATGGCAAATTTTAAGTTATTCCAGATGCCCCACAAAGCACCCAGCAACTCAGAGTTTAAAATCTTGCCCCTGACCCCCAGAAGCCTTTGCAGCCATGATAGCAGTTAAGTTCTTCAACATTACAACCAATGAACACATGCGGTCTCATCAGCCTAACTAATAACAGACACCTAATGCCCCTAGAGTGTGCAGGACACAAACACAAAAAACAAAAATGAAAACACATACATGCAGCTGTTTTCTTTGGCTCTTTACTTTTTCAAAACCAGGAAAACCTAGCACTCCTTTTCTGGGCTTTGGCTGTTGGAAGCATCGCAGTTTTGAACTCTAGCTGAAGCAAGTCTTGGATTCTCTGCTGTCACTAAAACATCAGTGTAGAATCCTTGGTTTTCCTGACATAAATAGTGGCATGTCAACCAGCCTACAATACTGACTGCATAAGCTTGTGCATCTCTTGCCACTTATTCTCTTCACATGGTCTTAAGTATAAAAGGATAGATTATGCAACATAAGGAGATACCCTTCAAGAAAGGCACACTAACAGATGTCTTCTTAGGCCCAGTCTCTAAAAGCTTTCCAGGTGAAAACTAGGAAACTCATTTCACTCTTCATAGAAATTAAGACCAAACACTCATGTTTTAGGGAAAATTCCCCACCCTGACTCAACAGGTTTTAATGTTAAAGGCTGCATGCAAGCCATTTTTCAAGTTTACAATGGCCAATTCATCTATCTTGATGAAACCTACCCCACTGCCTTTACTTAATATCTTATTACTTTGGAAGTTCTTCAGGAGATCTGAAGCGTGAAAGAAAATATGTAAAAACAAATTGTCTATTTTTCCAACACCTAAACCATGCAAATACGTTCTTAAACTGTCCAAAAACATGAAAGCTGTATCGTTTCAACAGGACAAAATTAAAACTGTATGTGTAGGAGGGTGGGGGCAAGACGCCTAAGGAAAAAGATTAAGAACATTTAATTATATTCATTGTGACTGTCAGTCTATTGGCAAGTTTCAAAATGCAAGTTCTTTCAAAAGACTAGAAAGAAACAACAAGTTATAAGTCCAAAATTTGACTTTCCTATTGGATTCTAAATATAATTTACATATGACCTAATAGTTTTCAAAAATAGGTGACTTAAGTTCGGCTCTGAAATAAACAGTCTGATGATCAAAAATGCTGAGTAACTAGCATCTCCCATTGACTTATTTTTTAAAAATAATCATCGCTAAGATTTATAAGCACATATATTATACTGTGCATTACAGAGACCCTCTCTCTCTATATAAAGGCAAGATTTTATTTTTTGGGTTACTTCCCTCACCCCCTGCCAAAATCAAAACCCACTGCATTGCTACATACTCTGCTAATGCAAAGAAAAACGAGGAAACACAAAAATTAACAAATGCTATTCTTAGACATGCTGAGATCATTTGGATGGTGCTGATACTACTACTTTGTGTAAATGAAAAAAAAAATCAGTCACTTGTACTCCATGAAAAATATTTTGTACTATATTTCATCCCAAAAGAATCCACAAACATCATGGATATGCAGCTACCTTTGGTGTGGAGAGTGGCAACCATGCTCAGCACACCATACAACGACAGGGACATATTTTTAATCAGATTGGCAAGAATACAACAAGTTAGATGCCTTCAAGTCAGCAGGGCCTGATGAAATACACCCTAGAATACTCAAGGAGCTGACTGTGAAGATATCTGAGCCATTAGCGATTATCTTCAAAAAGTCATGGAAGATGCGAGAGATTCCAGACGACTGGAAAAGGGGCAAATATAGTGGCAATCTATAAAAAGGGAAATAAGGGCAACCCAGGGAATTACAGACCAATCAGCTTAACTTCAGTACCCAGAAAGAGAATAGAGCAAATAATTAAGCAATCAATTTGCAGGCACCTAGAAGGTAAGGTAATAAAGTGACAGTCAGCATGAATTTGTCAAGAACAAATCCTGTCAAAAATCAACCTAATAGCTTTCTTTGATAGGGTAACAAGCCTTTTAGATAGGGAGAGAAGTGGCAGATGTGATATATCTTGAATTTAGTAAGGCTTTTGATACTGTCTCGCATGACCGTCTCAAACAAACTAGGGAAATACAACCTAGATGGAGCTACTATGAGGCGGACACATAACTGCATGGAAAAATGTTCCCAGAGAGTAGTTATCAGTTGTTCACAGTCAAGCTGGAAGAGTATATCAAGAGGGGTCCAACAAGGATCAGTTCTAGGTCTGGTTCCGCTCAATATCTTCATCAATGATTTAGATAATGGCATAGAGAGTACACTTCTAAAGTTTGCAGACAATATCAAGCTGGGAGGGATTGCAAGTGCTTTTGAGGATAGGATTATAATTCAAAGTGATCTGGACAAACTGAAGAAATGGTCTGAAGTAAATAGGATGAAATTCAATAAGGTCAAATGCGAAGTACTCTACTTAGGCAGGAACAATCAGCTGCACACATACAAAATGGAAAATGACTGCCTAGGAAGCACTGTAGAAAGGGATCTGGAGGGTCATAGTGGATCACAAGCTAAATATGAGTCAACAGTGTTACACTGTTGCAAAAAAGGCAAACATCATTCTGGGATGTATTTGCAGAAGTGTTGTAAGCAAACATGAGAAGTAATTCTTCCACTCTGCTCCACGCTGATTAGTCCTTAACTGAAGTAGTGTGTCCAGTTCTGGGCGCCACATTTCAGGAAAGATGTGGACCAATCGGAAAAAGTCCAGAGGAGAGCAACAAAAATGATTAAAGGTCAAGAAAACATGACCTATGAGGGAAGATTGAAAAAACTGGGTTTGTTTAGTATGGAGAAGAAAAGACTAAAAAGGGACATGGTAACTTTTTTCAAATACATAAAACGTTGTTACAAAGAGGAAAAAAAAAATTTGTCTCTTAACTTCTGAGGATAAGACAAGAAGCAATGGGCTTAAATTGCAGCAAGGGCAGTTTAGGTTGGACATAAGGAAAAACTTCCTATCAAGGTGGTTAAGCCATGGAATAACTTGCCTAGGGAGGTTGCGGAATCTCCATCATTGGAGATTTTTAAGAGCAGGTTAGACAAACATGTCAGGGATAGTCAAGATAAGGGATCTCAAACTGGGGGTCAGGACCCTTCAGGGGGTTGCAAGCTGTCAGCCTCCAGCACAAACTCCGTTTTGCCTCCAGCATTTATAATGGTGTTAAATATATTAAAACGTGTTTTTAATTTATAAAGGGGGTTGCACTCAGAGGCTTGCTATGTGAATGGGGTCACCTGTACAAAAGTGTGAGAACCACTGCTCTAGATAATATTTAGTCCTGCCATCAGTGCAGGGGACTGGCCTAGATGACCTCGAGGTCCCTTCCAATCCTACCATTCTATAAATCATAGGACTCCTCTTAAGAGGAGTGCCATGAGGTCTTTGATGTCTACAAAAGACAGACTAGACCAGACTTTAAGTATCATCTGATTGACACCGAACAAAGCAAATGGAGTTTTGACTATTTTATCTACCTCAAAAGACGAAGAGCTGAGTTGAACCTGTGATTCCTAGGAGTCTGTCTAGTTATTCCACACATACACCTAAACCTTTAAGCTACCCACTTCAGCTATAAAAAGCAAAAACAATGGATTACCAAATAGAAAGACTAAAATATTGGGAGAGAAATAAATGTAACCAAATGCATAAAAAAATTAAAAATATAAACTACGCAAATTTATTTTTTAAAACACCCTTCCGGATGATCAGTATTTCATGTACGTCATTCCATGCACCAAAGGAGATATCTGTGACTCTAAATACAACCAAACAGGTTTTGATGCGTACTTTAAGGAAGCCAAAATGATCAACACGAGAAAAAATTTTAACGCAGTAAAGTGTATTTTATTTAAAAACTATCCCCTTTGATAAACTGAACTGCTGACAAATACTGCTTCATTCTTTTTAAAAAAAAAAAGAGAGAGAGAGAGAGAGAGAGACTGACGTGAAGAAAAAATAAAGCTACAGAAGATGAATTAAAATAGCTATTAAAAATTCAAACTATTAAGTAAAACATATTGGAAGTCTGCTTAGCTCTATTCAAAAATGCCCATCACAAAAAGAAAAAATAACAAAGTTAGCAGTTATGTTAAAAATACTTACTCTGAGCCTGCAGCCATTTCCAAATGAGAAGTTTCTGCTGTGTCAACCCCAAACGGGATCACTATGCTCATGACGTTCGTTTCTGATAAATTCGATTACTACGGAGTCCTGTGCATTGGTATCCAAAACACTGGGGCATGCCAGCCACAGTGCTCATTGCAAACATCTAAGTGCATCCACAAACCCTGTTTAAAAATAAGAAAAACATTGAAAACAAATCATTTTAAACCGGCAGTTCCATACTGCGTTTTAAAATGGCACCCTGTGCTAAGACATCTTACAATAATTTCATTTTGTTATCAGCATGAAGACAAAAAAAAATAGTCAGATTATGGCAAACATTATAAACCTTTAAAATTTGCTTTAGTTTAGTATATTACCCTACCAGCATGGGTTTTTAAAAAAAATAAATAAATACCTAAAAATCATCAGTAGGACAGCTCTCATAGAACTTAAAATACTTCTGAAGGAAGCTTTCTTCCCATACTTTCAATCAAAAAATCTGAGCCAAAAATCTAAAGATGAACATAGACAGTATAGGATCAAACCACAAAGTTTTAGAATTCAAAAGTAAAGGACTGCATACAAAACAGAGTATATAAATGAACAAAACTTTCACCACTCTGTTTGAATAACTATTTTGTTGAAAATAAAATCATAATGTTCATATATACAATTATATGTAACACCACAAACACTCAAAATTCTCACTTCAGTCATGATTGGCCATTATTAGAATGGACTGAATATACCACCAGATAACCTAATATGGCCACAATTCTCATTTTACCCACTCAACTTTCAGCAAGTAACATTCTTCTTCCTTCGTTTGGTTATTATGTGGTGGATAACTGATAGGTATCCTAACTCTTTCTTCCAAATTCTACGTGATAATTTAAAACTCAGAGAGATCCTTAAAAACAGGACAATGTTATTTTTAATTTTTTTCATTGAAGAGCTTTCACATAGTCTGATTATAGACAAAATTATATAACATTTCTGATGGAATAATAAAATGTTAACATGTATTAAAATGACTGCTGGACCTTTAGGCTCAATGTTACTACTGTACTCTTGGTTTATTAGCAAATAATGCAAAACTGAAAAAGTGAAGCCACTCAATTTAATGCATTTTAATGAGGAAGAAGGGGGGTGAAGTAACTCATGCATGCTTAAGGAACAAAGATCAGTTTCTCCAGGTGATGAGTTAGACAACAGTTTATGACTATTTAACAAAATGTCTCCTTGTTATTCAAGAACAACTCTGAATATTATATATTGTACAAATCTTCCAATGGTTTCTGATTAACATAAGTTTGCTATATTTTACTCTGGCAAGCACTGAAGAGTCAAAATGGCTAACAAGAGAGAGGGAGAATCTATTTTGACTCATACATAAATCAACAAAGTCCCACCTCCCTGACACTGTGCTTCCAACCTTCTCTTCTTCCCCTCTGCAGAAGTGTCACAAAAGTACAGAATATGAGCACAAGGAGGGGTGAACAGAATTATATCACTGTACTGTTCCTACTCCACAGAACTATAGTAGTAAGTTAATGTGTACTGAGTCAGCAGTAACTTACCCAGCAGTGATTAGCCAAGTGAGGTAAGATCTCAACCCCAAATTGATGGCACTTCTCCATTTGTCAGTCTTTATTTTTAGGGATATACTTCAGCACAGCTATCCATGTCTTCCTTACTTCCACACTGAATTACTGCAATGCACTTGTAGACCAGCCTCAAACATTGGACTGTGCAGAATGCAGATTGCTGAGCAGTGCTTCTTGGATGAAGCATACAATTCCTGTGCCCAGTAAACTACATTTGCTTCCAGTTTGTTTAAGGGTGCAGTTTTAGCTGTTGGTTTTGACCCATAAAGTCATAAAGGTTTTGGGCTCTGGCTATTTTAAAACCACTTTTCTCCGCATTGGATACCACAACAGTTAAGATAAACTGCAGTATTTAATATAACTGCCCTTTGATTTGAAGGGAGCATACTAGTGACCAGGCATTTTCAACAGCATCCTAGCTTTAGAACAGAAATCTTAATTTATTGACAAGGATGGTTTCCAAAGAATTTCCCTGAGGTGGATTGGGAAGGACTTCACACTGATGTTGATCTAATTAGAAGATTTTGTATTTTTAAAAGTGTACATGCTTAGAACATTAGAAAGACACATTTAATAAACTATAAAAAAGTCTAGAGTAGATCATATTAAACTTCCTTATGAGATGACTAAGGCCTCTGGATATTTCACCATTCCCAACTCTCTTGTTCTTGTTGGAGTAGAAGATGTCTTTTTTAGCCCATTAGACAAATTACCAAATATACTAACTGCAGAGAAGTCAGGTCACCTACCTCCTGGAGATAATTCCTACTATTTACAGAAGTATGGTAGTTTATGTTTTGTCAGATGCCATGGACACCACACTATTTTACATAGAGACATCTTAGGAACAGTACGAATTTTTACTTTATTACAATCACTTTATTGCTCTTGAGAGACCAAGAAATGAAGTCCTCTAAGCCAAAGAAAAAGTACATCAAACTTTACGGTGATGCATGCACTGCAAATACATAAGATAGACAAATAAGGGGCAGCAGCAGCACAAATTCTCACACTATCCTACTTTTAGGCTGCAACATTAAACTGGAAGGACCACCTCTACAACTGAGTGAAGTTCAATTTCCACTTACTTATCTCCCTTCTGAGACTCTCAAAAAAGGGTGCCAATTCATACCAAACTGGACTGAGACAACGATCCGCTCATTTAAACTAGACAGTCATCAAATGGTAACAACATTGGGTTGGGTCTCTGCCAATCTCAGCTTGATCTAAACTAGCAGCTACAAAATGAAAGGCTGCACGTTACCTATGCACTGAACCAGTCAGCCCCCAGGCAGTAATGCTGATAAATTAACGCCAGAATGTAACTAGGAAAACCTATTCTGAAAAACGGTTTGGGATGGAGAGGTTCAATGGTAACATTTTAGAGTTATTATAGTCTGGATGTGACTTTGCCTTGCCTGTCATTTTCAGTGGTGTTGAGCCAGCCAGTCAAAAAATAAACTGTAAAGATTTGGAAAGCCACACATCAGCAGAGGCTGAAACAAAAGAGGAGGTGCAAGGGATGTGGAGAAGAACTATGCCACCTGTCTCATGTGCTATCACGTCTATTTTCTTGCACAAAGCAACTAAGATTATCCAACAATAAGCTCATTGTGTACACAAGATATTTGGATTGGACTAAGTGACCTATGTCTGGACAACGGTTATAAGAAGAAGTATAAGATGTGGCTGGCAAAACTGAGCCTTCAGAAAATAAAAACTACTAATCAGAAAACGTTCAATAAAGCAGGGAGAGAACAGATTAGTTTTCTGAAGGCGTACAAACCTACAGGATTTATTGTCAATGTGTGTCCCAAAGTCAGAAATGTGATTACTAGCATGTTAGTGTCTAATGACCTAGACTGATTTTTGCTGTGATTATGGTATTAATTCAAGAGGTGCCCGAACAGTACAGAAAAGTTATTGGGAGGGCTGCAGAGGGAATATTCAGTACTGATGTAAACAGAAAAGGCAGTGGCACCATTAAAGTTCAAAATTGTTGTAACGGGGGAAAAAAAACAGGTCAGGAGACATCACACACACACCATTTAGATGTAGGTCTTTCAGTGGCAGACTAATCATTTAAATTCTTGGCCCAGTTTCAACCACTTTGAATAAAATCAGAAAAATGATGAACTTCAATAAATTTCACTGATGTTCCTGCCCCTCAGAAGGCGAGTGGTGGATGGAACATCTATGGGGTAGTAAGTCTGAGATACCAGATTTTCTTTTTGGGGGTGGGTGGAAGGAGGGCACTTTCTGGTTTGTGTTCTTATGGCATTTCAATAATGTTCCTTAATTTCCCTCCCACCAACCATCTTTCAGGTGTCCAATGCATGGGTAATGCATCTCAGTCATCTTAGATTTTCAATGTAAGTTTTTTTTAAATGGTAATGAAGTTAGTGTTCTAACTTTACTTAGATTTTGTTGTATAGTAGCAGAAGACAGGTTCCTATTGATGTCCGTTTTGATGTTCACTAGATTTGTATTGTTACTCTTTTTCTAATAAAAATTAAAATATTTTTATTTCATTGTGTCATTTATTATGCATGGTGTTTCAAAAGCAGAGCTGAAGTCAAGGAGAACCTGCTATACTGGTGAGACTGCAACCTGTGAGGTTTCCAATTTACACTAGCAATTTATCTCTGTAGGACGTACCAGTACGAGTGGTGTAAAAACTTGCTCAAGTTAGTGCACTCTATATGTTGCAATACCTGGACTCTCATTTGCGTATGAGAATATAAGGCTTTTTAGAAATGACGGTGATAAGTGTTGGTAGTACCAGTGATTTTTATTTTTTTTTTTTGGCGTAGTGTATGGAGACCTTAAAAGGAAATAAACAGTACAGTCACCTCACACACATGACTGTAACTGAAAAAATTAACGAAGTCTATTTTTACATTTGACTTAGTGCATTTAACAGCACTTTGTATAGGCCGTTTCACAGTTTCCCCCGGCCCCCAACATAATCAAACTTCAGAGGGGGAAATACCTCGTTGTACACTCAAAGGAACATCAACTTTAATCCATTTTTTTAATGAAGAATAATAGTTTGAGGTTTTGAGGTATTTCCTATCTATTTATAGATGACGTAAGGCACTCAATTCTAAATAAGAGTTTTCACAGAAGGAAGTTGCACTGATTTAGCTATATCAGTTTCTAAATCACTATAATTTTCTCATGTAAGCAAGTCCTTAAAAATAGGAATGTTAAGTCTTCTCCTTCCATGTTTTTTTGTTGGAGGACTCTGAATGACATAGATATACACTGGGAACTTTTTCAACTCTCTCTCTTCATAGATTTTAAGGCCAGAAGGGATTACTACATGATTCAACCTGACCTCGCATACAACGTAGGCCATCAAATTTCAACCATTTACTCTCATGTTGAGCCCAATAACTTGTGTCTGACTAAAACATATCTTCCAGAAAGACATCCGGTCTTGATCTGAAGGCTTTAAGAGATGGAGAAACCACCACTTCCCTTAGCAGTTTGTTCCATTAGTTAATCACCTTCACTCTTAAAAAAATGTGAGTTATTTTGATTTGCCCAGTTTTAACTTCCAGCTATTGATT